GGTGGAGCCTGGTCCAAAGTCTTAAAGCACACACAGGGGAAAGAGGCCAGATACAGATGCATCTGACAAGGAACAGAAGAACGCCAAGACTCGCCAGCAGTCACCTGAAACCAGGACAGCGACCACAGAAGGCAGGGACTTCGCCAAGATACTGGTTTGGACGTTTACCTTACAGAATGGTGTTGTTGTTGTTATTGTTAGGTGTCATTGAGTTGGTTCCAACTCATAGTGACCTTATGTACATCAGAACGATCCACTGCCTGGTCCTGCAAGGTCCTCATGATTGTTGCACACTTGAACCGATCGCTGCTGCCACCGTGCCAATCCATCATGTTGGGGAACTTCCTCCTCTTCGCTAAATGCGACACCATTCCTTTTCAATCTGTCATTCCTGGCATAGTAAACCATGTGACTGTCAGATTCAAAATGGCCGATACCAGTCCGCTTCAGCTCACTAATGCCTACGAGGTCAGGCTTTATGTTTTCTGTTTCCATTTTTGACAATTTCCAATTTTCCTAGATTCCTACTTTGTACATTTCATGTTCTGATTAGTACTGGATGTTTGCAGCGATTTCTCCTGGTTTTGAGTTCTACTCCATCAACAAATAAAGGTCTGGAAAGTTTTACTCCATTGGCCTCACCATGATCAGCTCTGCTTTGAGGAGGCAGCTCTTCCCCAGTCATACTCTGAGTGCCTGTGGTATTTTGTTTGTTTAACCATAATACCTAAGACACCAAGATGTGGGTGTTCACCCTGCAGCCTCCTTTTGGTATTAGGTATGAATCAGGAGCCATATTTGGTTGGCCTCATGGAACGCACCACAGTGGTGGACATGCAGGACGTTCTAGGTCAGTGTGGGGGAATGGTGGAGCTCCAGATACTAAAATCATGTTCCAGGTAATAAGATAATGGAGGAGTGGCGACTGGAAACCATGTCCCCAAATGTGAGTCCACAGTAGCTAACAACACCCACCATGGAGGAGGGTCTTTGTAGTGGCCAGCAGGTTAGATCTAGCGGGTATGGCCTTTGGTTCCTTTATCTACATTGGAACAAGGAGTTTCCAGCATCCTGAATGTTTTCAACATGGGTCATCCGGAATCCAGAGTCTAGACAGCCAGTTCAGCAGTGACTAGAAGGACACTTTGTGGCCCAAATTGTTGTGGGGTCCACAGGGACAGATCCGTGTCCTGGCCTGTCCTTGAAATCCGTCCTATAGACTTTCTTCAGAGTTTTGTCGGTGTCCATGGAAGCTGCCGCTGTTCTAGGTGCCCGAGTTACCCTGCCAGGCGGGACTCTGTGTGGCATGAGCTAGCCTGACCCTGCTCCATAGCTTTGAGGGGAACTCACTTGGGCTCACAAGGTAACTCCATCAAGTTTTGGTATTATGGGGTCTTCCAGAACCAGGGCAACCTCCTATGAGGGGGATTACCCCACTTAGCCACCTCACTCCTCAGGGCTGTGGCTTTCCCGGAAGACATTGGTAAGGCGGAACATTTGACTTCTGTGGTTATTTCACAACAGCAAGAACCCAGCTGTGTGTGTGGCTATGCAAGGCGGGGCCCTTACATTCCTGGGCAGCTTCCCCTCTTGCAGTTCTTGAATTCTTCCTGCCTACCCCTCCAGTGTCCACGGCAGAGGATGCTCAGTCCCTAGGGCCTTGTCTTCCTCAAGGCATGGGTGACAATGTGATCCCATGGGTGGTCACCGGGTGCCAAGAGCTTCCTCGTCCCTGTCTCCCTGTACTTGTGGCTGCTCTAGGATCCCTAGTCACACCTGGGCCAGGCCTTCAACCTCAGTCCGAATTTTCCAGAAGGTTCCTTCTCCAGGAATATATTCTTTGCTTGCCATCATCCTGGGTACAGTTGAAACCAGCTCTGGTTCATTTCTGCATGAGAGAGATCTACCAGGGAAAACTGGAGCTCTTGTAAAGTAGACTGAGGCCTGATACAGCAGCAATGCAAAAGCAAAGTCTGTTAGAGACTTTGGTCCTGGGTCTGTTTCCTCCTTCCAAGCTCCCATGTCACACCCCAGGGATCATGGGTCTAAGAAAGGGACTCACAGCCCTGGATGTCACAGATTCCAGTTCTGCCCTGAGGAATGGAACTTACAAGCATGTCTTTACTGAGGAGTCACATTGCTAGGTGGTCCTGGAGGTCTCCTTCCCCTGGCCTGCACCATGCCTCTGTTTTGGGGGTGGGACTCTGCTACCTGATAAGTGCTTGGACCCATCACAAGTCCCCTGAACCAAGGTGGCCCTTGGTGGTCAACCCAGAGGCCCAGACAGCTCTTGCCTAGAGAGCTCTAGGGGAGCCTCACAGGCCCAGAGCCACAGAGGGTTAGTCAGGAAGCACTCCTTGCGCTCCACCCGCCCGGCTCTCACCAGGGTCTGGGGAAGTGAGCTACAGTGAGGACAAAGGTCTTGCTCATGGTCTGGGCCAATATCAGGTGCAGAGCCAGGGAAACCCTGCGGAGGCAAGCCACCTCTTCAAAGCCATCCTGTTTTAGAAGGGCAGTTCTGCAGGGGCCATCCGCTCTGCAGATACATTTCCTGGTTGTCAGCTGGGGTGCAGGTCCCTACAAAGCGGCTCTTGCCCCGCTTTCGGTGGGCCTGGGAATCTTGTGTGCCTGGCTGGGGGACTGAGGGACAGGCCCTAGACAGTGGTCACCTGATGCTCACACCGGGGGATGTAGCCTCTCCTGTTAGACTCAGTCTCTGAGATAGTGGAGGAAGGCGCTGACTCTGGGCAGACCTGCTCCCCCAAGGGGCTGCATGATTTCCAGGCCCCAAATGCCCCTGCGACCTCAGAGGTGCAAGAGCCTTTGGTCCTGTCCCTGTTCAAGTCCTGGGCTGGTGGAGGGGAACTCTTCAGAAGTGGGGAACCTGGGCAGGAGGAAGATCCCTCACTAAAAACCCACCACTGTGGGGTGGATTCAGACTCCACAGAAGTTTCTGAGGCTGTAAATCATTACAGGAGCAGACGGCCACATTTTTCTCCAGCCGAGCAGGTGGTGGATTTGAACCCCTGATCTTGAAGTTAGCAGTCCAATGCATAACCCATTGCACCACCACTAGGCTCCTCCCACCCACTGCCAGCAAGTGGATTCGGATTCATAGTGACTGTATGGTTGTTGTTAGGTGACGTCAGTACCAACTGTCTGGTCCTGTGCCAACCTCGCACCTGTTGCTACGTTTGAGCTCATTGCTGCCGCCACTTTGCCAATCCATCTCATTGGGGGTCTTCCTCTTTTTCTCTGGCCCTCCACTTTACTCAAAATGATATCCTTCTCTAGGGACTGATCCCTCCTGATAGTATGCCTGAAGCATGAGAAAAAGTCTGGTCATTCTGGCTTTCAAAGAGCATTCTGGCTGTACTTCTTCCAACACAGACTGGTTTGTTCTTTTGGCAGTCCAAAGTACTCTTAATATTCTCCTCCAACACCAGTTCTTCTAAGGTCTTCCTTATTCACCGTCCAGCTTTCACATTCATATGAGGTTATCAAAAATGCCATGGGTTGGGTCAGGCACACCTTAGTCCTCAAGCTGACATCTTTGCTCTTCAACACTTTAAAAAGGTCATGTGCAGATGATTTGCCTAATGCATTATGTCATTTCCATGAGTGTTTATGGTTGATCTGAGGAAAATTATGTCTTTGAAAACTTCAATCTTTTCTCCATTTATATGGATGTTGTTTATTGGTCCAGTGGTGAGGATTTTTGTTTTCTTTACCCTGGGGTGCAACCTATATTGAGGGCTGTGGTCTTTGCTTTTCATCAGGAAGCATTTTTAAGTTCTCTTTGCTTTTAATAAGCAAGGTTGTATCTTTTGCATATCTCTGGTTGTTAATGAGTCTTCCTCCTATCCGGATGCCACGGTTTCCTTCATACACTGCAGCTTCTCGGATTACTTGCTCAGCATGCTGATTGAACAAGTGTGGTAAAAGAATATAACCCTGGCACACACCTTTCCAGATTTTAAACCATTCAGTATCCCCTTGTTCTGTTCAAACTGCCTCTTGGTCCATGTACAGATTCTTCATGAGCACAGTTGAATGTTCTGGAATACTCATTCTCCACAATGTTGTCCATAGCTTGTCATGATCCACACAATGGAAGCCTTTGCATACGTAGTCAATAAAGCACAGGTAAGCATCTCTCTGGTATTCTCTGCTTTCAGCCAAGATCCATTGGACAGCAGCAATGATATCCCTGTTGCACATCATCTTCTGAACCTCTGGAAGTTCCCTGTCAATGTATGCTTGCAGCTGTTTTTGTATTATCCTTAGCAAAACTTTACTTGCATACGATATTAATGATATTGTCTGATGATTTCTGCATTCTGTTGGGTCACCCCTCTTTGGAGTGGGCACAAATATGGATCTCTTCTAGTCATTTGGCCAGGTTTTTGTACTAAATATTCGGAAGTAGTCAGTGCCTCCTTCTTCCTAGTCTGTCTTGGTCTGGAAGCTCAGTTGAAACCTGTCCACCGTGGGTGACCCTGCTGGTATTTAAAATCCAGAATCACAGCAACATGCAAGTCACCACAGTACGACAGACTGACAGAGGAGTAGGGGGGACCCTATAGGACAGGGTAAAGAAAAGGTCAAAGGTTTCCTCCCCAGGCAAATGCCAGACACCCCTCCAGCTCTGCCCCGCGCGTTGGGTTTCCCGCTCCGGTTGCGTGTGCTTGGCACAGCATTTAGCAGTTTATCTATTCGCTCCAAGGGTATCTGGAGAAAGTAGTGCAGAGACGTCTACGTCCAGGGCGAATCGCTCCCCCAGTGCACTGGCCGCTCTGCAGCGGACGCCAACCTGAGTGATAGTTACAGTAATCACGAAAACAACTTGCGTTGCGCTCCGCCACGACGCCCTGCCCCTAGGGGGAGCCCACGCGCCTCTTTTATACACTCGCCTCGACGTGCTCGTTCCCGCGCCGCCCGGCCCGGCCGCCGTCCGACGCCGCGCGCATGCGTGCGCGCGCGCGCTACAGAAAGCGCCGCTGTGAGGCTGAGGCGTCTCCTGCTGAGGCTGCTTTTGCTCGGGCGGCGGCGGCCGTGGTGACGGCGGCGACGGCGGCCCGCTCTCCCCGCTCCCCGCGCTTCTTCTCCCCGGCCCGCCAGCCGAGGCCGCCACCCGGGCCCCAAGATGCCGGCCGTGTCCAAGGGGGACGGGATGCGGGGCCTGGCGGTCTTCATCTCAGACATCCGCAACTGTGAGTGACCGGCTCGCCGCCGGGGGCCCTGGGCGCGGGGGTCCGCGGCCGCTGTGGACGCGGCTCCAGTGTTTGGGGTTGCACACCCAGTGGGCCAGGGGGCGCGGGGGTCCTGGAGTGAGGAGCTGGGCTGCGGGGCCCAGGCTCAGGCTGGGACCGCGGGGCGGGGGCTGAAGACCTGGAGGGGACAGGGTCCAGGGGGGCAGCCCCGGAGGTGCGGGGTGAGGGGCTTCCTGAGCCGGCTGCAGCATGATGTCATCCCCCGCTCGGTGTTTCTGTCGGGCGCGTTTCCCCCCCCACCCCCACCCCCGAAGCCGCGAGCCCTTGGCGGGGAGTGGGCCTCAGCGGTGGGCGCCGCTTCCAGTGGGCGTTCATGGATAGCCCCCCATGACATCTCCGCCTCCAAGGACTCATCCCCGCCTGCCCGCGCCCACCCCAAACCCAGGGACCCCCCTACAGGCCGCTGAGTGCCTCTGCGCGGAAGCCCCCGTGGACCCCTTACAGAAGCTCCTGATCTGCTGTGTTTGCTTCCGTCCTCGGTCTCCCCCCGAGGGTGGTTGTGAGTTTTCCTCCCTGAGGCTTATGGTTGGTGTCAGGGAGGCCGTGGACCCTTGTCGTCTGGTCAGCGCTGTTGGACTGACCCTTGTCCTGTATCTCCTCAGTCAGGAGGTGAAGATCAGGCTGCTCCTGGGTCTCCCCAGATTCCCGGGGTCTTGCCCCCCGTGCCCAGCAGAAATAGCTGTGGAAGTAGGGCAGCTCGCTGTTTGCCGTGTAATGTCATTTCCAGGACGCTAATATTTATCATCATAAAACTCGGTGTGCATGTGTGTGGGTGTTGCTGTTCAGAAGACCCCTTGGGCAAAGGCTTACCAGTTTCTGTGTCAGAGAACTGTGCCCACAGGGGTCCCAGTGGATGATGTTTCATAAGTAGATCCCACTCATGGTGCCCCGTGTGTGTCAGAGTAGAACTGTGCCCACAGGGTTCTCAGTGGATGA